CAGTATATAAAAGCCTGACCCAGTCTGCGTTGTTGGGTGCTTTCCTCTAGCCTTACTGATTGGTCATGAATTTGTACTAGAGTAAGATTGTAAGAGAAGCAAAAGAGTGTTTTAGTGACAGAATTTAAGATGGGAAAGGAGGGAAATGAAAGCACAAGGAGGCAAGGGACAGTGCAAATGTGAATCAAATTTTGCCCTTGGTGGAGATAAAAGATTGTTAGAATTTCCATAGGCAAGAAGGAACTTACAATAATAAAGATTAAGTGCACAAAGGAATCAGTTTGGAGTTATAACCTTCTCTGGAAGATGGCTAAATATGCTGGCACAGAGTGGTCAATAAACCAAAAAGCAAGGTTGTAAAAATGGATATCATCTCTATGAGATATTGCCTTGCTAATAAAATAGGGGGAGCATGGACATTAAGTTCAGAGCTATTGCTTGGAGTTAGGAAGGAATGATGGTGACAGGATGAAATAGTTGGTGTTAGTTTTGATGAACAGTAGATAAAGTCAGTCAGGAGGTAGACAGCAAGTGAGGAGAATGGGCCAAAAGCCAGGAAGTCACCTACTTCACATGCAGGTCTAAGGGGATGGTATTGGAGAGGACAGTCACTACTATAAGGGCTACTAGGGGAAGCAGAAACCTCTTCAGAGAGCAAGGGGTTTGTGGCTATAAAAGGGATCTTTAGGGCTACACAGACATGAGATGGGATTTGCAGAATGAACAGGATACCTGATTCCTGGGCTTACTGAGGAGAACAGTAATAAGACACTGTAAAGTCAGTCTAGAGAGTCCCAAAGCAAGGGTCCTAAGCCTGTGATGCTGGGAAAGTCCTGTAGTTTTCAGTTCTTTGGTTCCCATATTTATTCCAAATTGATGGCATCGCTTGTGGGCTCATCTTGCAGGATGAGCAAAAACTACTGGCAAACACTATTTCTGAGCATATATTTTAAAAACGTAGCCAAATTATATAACATTACAGAAAGTGTAGCTAGCAGAGGAAAAAAAAAATCACTTAAAATCCAATCACTCCAATTAATTATTTTCTTTTTTTTTTGGGTCCGGTTGTGGGGCCTGAACTCTGGGCTTGGGCGCTGTCCTTCAGCTCTTCAGCTCAAGGCTAGTGCTCTACCACTTGAGCCACAGCGCCACTTCCAGCTTTTTTCTTTTTCTGCTTATGTGGTGCTGAGGAATCGAACCCAGGGCCTCTTGCATGTGAGGCAAGCGCTCTACCACTGAGCCACCTTCCCAGCCTAGACTTAATTAAAAAGAAAAAAACAAAACCTACATAAAACAATGAAAAAGAGGGGCTGGGAAGGTGGTTCAGTGGTAGAGCGCTTGCCTCGCATGCATGAGGCCCTGGGTTCGATTCCTCAGCACCACATAAGCAGAAAAAGAAAAAAGCCGAAAGTGGCGCTGTGGCTCAGGTGGTAGAGAGCTAGTCTTGAGCTGAAGAGCTGAGGGACAGCGCCTAGGCCCAGAGTTCAGGCCCCACGACTGACCAAAAAACAAAAAAAAATCTAGTCTCAAGTTATCTTGCCATTTAGTTTGCCAGCCCTGCATCAGCTAATTCCTGACCTTGTTTCTCACCATAAATTTCTCTCTTGAGGAGTGGGACAGCAAGTATAGACTAAATTTGTAGCCTATTATTTTCAGTTTTGAGAAATGACTTATATGTTGTATGATTTGACACGTTTTTGTTATTTTGGTATACAGAAAAAAATCTAAATACCTGGAATATTTCTGATTCATGCTGTGGCTCAGCATCTAAGTTATAATTTCTGGCATATATCTTACCCATGTAACTGTAACCCCTCTGTACGGTATTTTCACAATAAAAATAAAAAAAGAAAGGTTGAGTGAGAGATGAATAAAATAAAATAACAAAAAAATAATGTCTGGCATAGCTATCAAGAGCTGAGCGGCATATCATCCTACTTCAATTTCCTCCCTTGAATGCTCTTTAGCAGTGTCTTACTCCTTCCTACTTCCTCCACTTGAAAGCAGAATTGCTGATCTCAAACCAGCAATGTCATGCGGGACACTTTTCTTATTCCTCTGTAAGAAGTGAGGCAGAATGCTGGAGAACACAGGGAGACCATGAGAAAGAAAACACATCTGTAGGACCAAGATTCTCATCCTTCTTTAGTCCCAGCAAAGATTTTACTTCAGACTTAAGTACTGCAGAAATGAGTTATTTTAAAATGTGTTCTATACAAGTTGTAGCTTCTTTTTAGCTTTGACAGTGAGAATTAAACTCAGGGCCTGAAGCGTGCTAGGAAATGTTCTATTGCTAGGCTATACCCACGTGTGTCTTCTACTTTTTGCTTTTTTTTGGGGGGGGGGGTTGTCATGGGGACTGAACTCAGGGATTAGGTGCTGTCTCTAAGCTCTTTTGGTCAAGGCTCGTGGTCTATCACTTTGAGACACAGCTCCATTTCCATTTTTTTAGTGGTCAATCAGAAGTAAGAATCTCACGGGCTTTCCTGCCCATCCTGCCTTTGAGCTGCATCAGCTCTCAGCCTCCTGAATAACTAGGATTACAGGAGCGAGTCACCAGCACCTGGCTAATTTTTGCATTTTGAAATCAGGTCTGGTTAACTTGCCTAGCCTGTTTCAGTCTACTTAGTTGTTGGGATTACAGGTGTGTACACCTCCCAGCAATTGTAATTGAAAGAATAATTTTGTGCATTGCATGCAACCTTCAAGAATTCTGTTTTCGGGTTGGGAAGGTGGCTCAGTGGTAGAGTGCTTGCCTTGCATGCATGAGGCCCTGGGTTCGATTCCTCAGGACCACATAAGCAGAAAAAGTCAGAAGTGGCACTGTGGCTGAGGGACAGCACCCAGGCCCAGAGTCCAGGCCCCACAACTGACAAAAAAAAAAAAAAGAATTCTGTTTTCTTGGAATTCTCCTTCCAAAGTATTCTCTTCAGAACCTGCTGTTCTCCACACAGATGACTATCATATATCATATTTGGATGAAGCCTACACATCACTGTACTGTTTGGTTTTTACAAAGGCAAATAGGAGAAAATGTATTTTCTTAATGGAAATAAAACAAATTGCTATCTTTAAATGCTCATCTGCCCACAGCATGGAAGGACACTGTATTTATCATTGTCAAGGGCTATGAAGTACTTATTTTTCACAGCAGTTTAATGACAGAAATTCCAATTGAAGAGCTAACATTTGGATGTTCATGTTCTCATAAAATGCTTAGGTGCACAAATTAGAACGTCCCAGTCTGGGAAGGCTGACTGAATAGAACAGATCTATTAACTACAGCAGGCCATGAAAAGAATATCAAGGGTCAATGGGGAAAAAAACCTCTCCAAAACAAGAAAGTTACAGAGGAGTAACTTTTGAGAAATATCTTTTTAAACAGTAGGAAGCTATCAGTTAGTCACTTAAAAAAAAAAAAAAAAAAAGACCAAGCCAAGAGCTGATAGCTCAACACCTATTACCCTAGCTACTTAGGAGGTTGAAACCTGAGGCTCAATTTTCAAAGGCAGCCCAGGAAGGAAAGTTTGTTACTCTTATCTCTACTTTAATAGTAAAAAATGGGAAGCAGAATGGTGGCTCAAGTGGCAATGTGTCAGCCTTAAGTAAAAAAGCCAGGAATAGTATGCAAACCCTAAATTCCTGCCCCAGTACTGGTTCAAAAGTAAATAAATTGATCACTTTTGGTCACTTAAAAAAAAAATCATCTAGTAGGCTGACAGTTTGCGCTCCCTCCAATAAACTCTTCTGCCTGGAAAAAAAAAAATCACCTACATTTTCCTAAGGATCTCCTTATATATTTTATCCCTCTAATCTTCAAATGTGTACAGGAAACTACCATGACAGAATTTAAACGAGCTGGTTTTGTAGCCTCAGCAGGCTGGAGACTCAGGCGGGAGAATCACTTATGTGCAGGTGTTGTAGACTAGCCTGGGTAACAGAGCAAAAGCCCACATCAATACAAACAAAAAAGTACTTTTAAAAGATATCTGCACCTCACATTTTCAGTAATGGTCTGAATTCAATGGTTAAAAACAAACTATCTGGTTTAATTCACTGAAAACAGAAATGATGTTTATGAAGAAAGACCAAGACTACAATCCTAATACCACCATTTAAAGGGGTTATTTTTTCACTGATCAAAGTCTAGCTTAAGATGTTTTCTTTTTGACACAGATTTTTGCTATTTAGATATATTCTATGAAAATCTTTTTGCCCATTTATGTGCTAAGATACTTAATTACTATCCAAGGAGGTTGATAATTCTTACTCTGATCAGATGTGCATGTCACGCATTCTTCAGAAGAGGTCCTTGAATATTTAAAAGAGCTGTTACTCAGTGTTACTATTTTCTATGTGCAGGTCCTGATCTAAATATCTTAAATTGGTACATCTATGGAAGGTTAAGGAGGCAGAGGCTAAGGAGGTGATAGAGATAACACTTCAAGGTTGAACATGGCACTGATGCAGAGCTGTTGCTCAACACCATGTTAAACTGCCTTATTTTCACCGACAACCAAATATAGCTGAACATACATGCCTACCTCTCCCACTAAAATCTCTATTTTCTTAAAATGGATTCCTTTTTAAAATGCTTGTCTTGAATGATTATGTTTTTACAAAAGCTGAAATATTTTATAATAGTAATACTGTTCTATAGTGGTAATTGTTCTATACATTTTATTAAGCATTTTCCATTCAGTTTCAAACTGACATCAATAACTGCAAATGACACAACTTTATAATGATATAAGTATATTAGCAGTTATATGTTTAACCTCTGCACATAGATCTACTTTTAAAAAGGTAATGTATTAGTAAATAAGTATACATCCCATTCTTTAAAAACTTCTATGAAACCTAGAAGTGAATATATTGAGTTTAGAATTCTTGGGCAATCCTGGAAGTCTATGGCCAAAGAATATCCACAAAAGGGGAAGAAACTACAAACGAGAATCACAGGTATAATAGACAGCCTGTCAACTTTAAGCTGTCTTTTTAAATGCAGTTTGTAGAAGGCTGCTTCCAGTTCCTTACACTTGCTGTCTACTATATCCTGATAGTCTAGCAAAAATACTGCTAAAAGTTATTCCTTATTACAAAGGAAATGGTCAATAAAATGGGTACTTGATTGTGCTATGAATTTAGGAAACTGTTATCTAAAAACTAATCAATTGTTATTAAAATTTCTAGTAAGAAGCTTATAAAAAACAAAGAATTATCACTGCTCCAAATATAAGCCAATTTAGACAATTTTCAATATAGCAACTCAAGAGGGGGCTAACACTTGCTTAAATCTGGCTGAGCAGACCTCTAAGAATGGGATTACTATGAAGCACTCACTTGGTCCTTGTCCTCAGCTGAACTACCTCCTATCTCTTCCACGTCCTTATCCAAAACCTGCTGTCTCCCATCTACTACTGGCCCTACCCCCACATTAAACCTGCAAGCTAGCTGTGCATGCATGGCTTTGTCATTGAAGACTGTAAGTCTGAGTTGAGTTATTCAACATGAGGGTCACAATAAGAGAACGAGGATCCTTCTTATTCTTGTGAACTGTGATCTTTCCTTTTAAGGCTTCACCTGTAAGAGACAGAGAGGCAAAAGTATGAATAAGAATTCACATAGCATACTCTAACAGGAAAGTAAGTAATTGTACTTAACAATTTTTTGTTTCAAGAGGCTTCTCTAAAATTTTTCATTGTTGAATAGACCTCTAGAACAGTTTTATGTTACGATCTACATATCTCAGGGATGAAATGCTTTTGATTATCCACCTTCTCCCTCCACACCCCCTGCCTTTTTAGCCCCTTTTGGTGCTGTGGATGGAACCCAAGGTCTTGTACCTGCAGTGCTCTATCACTGAGTCACATACATCCCTAGCCAAATCCTATGTGAGAGAGCAAAACCACAGTCATGCATGGTGGAGGTGGCAGTGGGGGTAGTTTTATTACTGTCTACAAGGCTCTCAGTGGTTCTGGGCATAGAGAAAAGAGAATAAGGCAGGGTCTTAAAGAGTTCATGGTCAAGTGTAAAAAGACATAGTTATATTAGCAGCTACATAACAAGCTTATGTCTAAAATAGGCTTCAGGAAGATTGAAGGAGGCAGTGAGTCAAGGTTTTATAGGAGTTAATAGGTTACCTAAGGGCAGGGCTAAAGTCATGACTAACTAGGATTAAGGAGTATAAATGTAATGGCATTTAAGGGGAGAAAACAGGTACAGAAAGCCTTCAAGAAGTGGGATATGGAGGAATTATAGATGGAGAAACTTTAATGCACTGAAGGCTGTTGGTCTTCAATGTACTGACATAGTAAATGGGAAACAGAACTTACATAAGTTAAAACAAGGAACACAAAAAAATTGCATCAGTTTTAGGTAAAGGCTACTTTTCCTAAACATTTATTATTTTATTCCAAAACTGGGACTCTTAAGTGCTTTTGTGATCATAAATACTTCTCAGCTCACTTTTCTCTATTTGCAGGGAGTCATTTAAAAATAGCAAAACACTGTTCAATTGTAACTGATTATTATTCCTTGCATTAGTAAAATTAACAGCAAACAATATACTAGGAATATGGCTGGACAGGATGAGACAGCACATAATGATTGAAGTATCTATATAAATCATGTAAGTACCAAATCAATGTTTATCCAAGTACTGAGCAATATCCTATTAAAAATCTTTTTAAGGCTGGAAATGTGGCTTAGTGGTAAAGTGCTTGCCTAGCATGCATGAAGCCCTAGGTTAGATTCCTCAGTACCACATAAACAGAAAAAGCTGGAAGTGGCACTGTGGCTCAAGTGGTAGCGCACAGAAAGGCTCAGGGACAGAGCCTAAGCCCTGAGGTCAAGCCCCAGGACAGGCAAAAAAAAAAAAAAAAAAAAGTTTTTAAACAAATAAATACAACTGCAACCTTCTCTCTAGGCAATGAATTTTCTTTTGTTAAACATCCAGGCTCTGGTGTCTTACACCTATAATCCTAGCTTCTCAAGAGGCTGAGTTCTAAGGATCCTGGATTCCAGCCTGGGCAGGAACAGTCTGTGAGACTCTTATCTCCAATAAACCACAAAAAGCCAGAAGTGGTTGGATGGTAGAGCCCTACCTTGAGCAAATAGTTCAGGCCCCAGTATTGGTGAAAACAACACTCAATACTTATTTTCAGGATATAAGTACTATATTACTGATGCATTTTATACATCTTTGCAAAAAGTCAAGACTGATAATTGAATGTGGAGTAGGGTATATTCAATTTTGTAAAATATAAAAATGATTCCATTTGTTGGGGTCTGACTGAATATGTACATATACTTTTAGCTTTTATATCTAACTTATTTGTCTATAGTAAGAAAATGAAATAAACTACCACATGTGATACTAATAGTGCACATAAAAAAGATTACTGGGGCTGGGAAGCTGGCCCAGTGGTAGAGTGCTTGCCTTGCATGCATGAGGCCCTGGGTTCGATTCCTCAGCACCACATAAGGAGAAAAAGCTGGAATTGGCTTTGTGGCTCAAGTAGTAGATGGCTAGCCTTGAGCTGTAGAGCTCTGGGACAGCACCCAGGCCCAGAGTTCAGGCCCCACAACTGACCAAAAAAAAAAAAAAAGATTACTAGTCAGGTGGGCTACAAATTTTAAAGAGTGCAGATTAATTACTACCATAGGACATCTGTATGTGCAGGTATCTTCATTTACAAAACCATTAATATTTATTTAAGTCTCTGGGCATTCACACAGTGAGACGGTAGATATTCTTAGAGAGGATCACAAAGGCTCAATAGCTCTGTGCATATGATCATATAAAATAATATTTTATGCAATGAACTCCAAGAAATGGAAACAAGAGATTTTTCTTTTTTCTTTGTTGATGTTTTTGTTTTCTTTTCCTTTTGTCTTGTTTGTTAGTTTGTCTGTCTTTGAGAGGGTCAGGAGGGTCACAGAGAGAGAGGGACAAAGGGTGAACAAATGCAGCAATGATACCATTTGTGGGTGAGATGGGAGAGAACTGGGAGAGGAAGAGGGAAGGAGTGACATTGTTCAAAAAGAAATGTACTCATTACCTGACTTATTAACGTTAAGTGTAATAATAACTCTGTACATCACCTTTACAATAACAATAAAAATATATATTAAAATGTTTATCTTTACTAAGTTCTAATAGTTATTTTCTTATCTAAGACATTAACCTAGGGAAGAAGTAAAGGCATTACTAACTTCAACAAATCATAGACATTTTCCAGTTTTAAACATGTAAGAAGTATTTTACTACTCTATTCTCCCCCCTCTCCTTTACTGCTTTTTTTAAGGTGCTGAGGACTAAACTCAGGGCCTTCATTTGCCAGACAAGTACTCTTGCACTGAGCTAAATTCCCAACCTCTTCCACATACACACACTCCTTTTGAGACAAAGTGATGCTATATAGCCAGGCTAGACTCAAACTAAGCCCCAGATGCTGGGATTATATACATGAATCACCATTCCTGGATTACTTGGAATCGCCACTTTTGTCAAATTAAGGTTACAGTTTAAAATTTAAAGTTCTTATGATAGAGAATAGTAATTATTAACTAAGATTAGGTTAAATTTACTATTGCTGCATTACCAACACTTATGAGCAATAGCTCATTTTTTAGGGCTTAATGGCTTATCAATTTTGTCTTATTTAATAAGCAGTGTATCTTAATATAAATTATTTCTATAAAATACTTCATATGTTAAAAAAGACAGCTAATGATTCAAAAATAACTCCACACACATAGATGCTTCCTTAAAATCTACATGTTGCCTCCTTTTAAAATATATGGCTTAAAACTGGGTGATGAAGGCCCACCAGGAGGCTGAAATCTGAGGATCACATTTCAAAGCCAGCCTGGGCAGGAAAGTCCATGAGACTCTACCTACAATAAACTACTCAGAATGAACTAGAAGTGATGATGTGGCTCAAGTGGTAGATTGATAGCCTTGAGCACAAAAAGGCTCAAGCACCCAGGCCCTGAGTTCAAGCCCAAGGACTGGAAAAAAAAAAAAAAAAGGTGTGTGTGTGCATGTGTAGTATATGGCTTAAGTGTATGCATGCTTTAAGACTAAAAACATTCTGCATTTCCTATTTTTCATGGCTTCCTTATTTCATTTAAAGTTTGCAAGATGAAGATGAGCCAGATAGGATAGCTACAGTTCATTTACATTCAATATTGTCAGTATTAGACCGTCCCAGTAGACTATCCATTCTTCTCTCACACTGTTTCCAGTTTGTTTTTAGTATAATTATAGTCCTGTGCTGTGTAGGAACATTTCAGCCAGTGACAGCTGCACATATAACAGTGTAGCTTAGTGTTTGGCAGGCTGTATTGTCTAGGTATATTTAAGTAGTATATTGTATGAGGTCTGCACAATGACCAAATTGCCCATTACCACACTTTTCAACTGTATCCCTGTTACATACAGTGTATGTACTTGTAGTGTTCTTACAGTGTTCAAATGTCTAGAATGTGAACTACTGGACTGTTGGGCATACACATGCTCAAATTACTACAGAATGACCAATTAGCCTTTGATAAAACTTCAGCATTAATTCATAAAAGGCCTGGGATTGACAAAGGAACAAAAAAGCAATTTCCTTACTAAGGGATTTTGATAAATATTTATTTATCAAAATCCAAGAACATTATAAGGTACCATGTGATTTTTTTTTGTTGCTTTGTATGTTCCTCCCCCATGGTATAACCCCTGGTTTTCACTGTATTTGCTGGGGAGGGGAAGGGAAAAAACAAAATGTTTAAATAGGGATACAGGTTGACCCATTGTTAACAATGAGATGTACACGACACCATGTTGAAAAACGAACTTTACAATTTAGGCGGGGTTGAGGGGGTGTAGTTGAGGAGGTAGGAGGGAAGGAATGGTAGGGGAAAAACAAAGGAGGAGGCAATAATGCTTGATATGAAATGTACTTATTACCTTGCTCATGTAACTGTAACTCCTCTGTACAGTATTTTCACAATAAAAAACTTATTAAAAAATCCAAGAACAAATATAAAAAGCAAACTGCATTTAGATTTAAGTGAGAACACAGCAAAGATGTCACTTAACATTATTGTTAGATACTCTACCAAATCAAATATGTCAAGATTTAAACAGAAGTAAAAATAAACATATAACATTAGTGGGAGTAGATGAAATTCATTACTGATCAGTTATTTTCAGTAACACAGTTTGAGAAATCTCCATTAACATCTCTTTAGATGTTCATTAGACACTGTCCTGTATACTGTGGGACAAAACTGTAGTTCTGAACAAAACATAGCATCTAGAAAGCAAGTAACCAAACAATTCCCACAGCTCACACATCTGGGAATTTACCAGGCAGAATAGAACGAACAGGTCAAAAGTTGAAATCTGAACTGTAACATCTAATGCCCTCTTAACCAAATGTTAAAGGTTAGAATCAAGGTAGACTATAATTAACTGCCTGCAAAAACAAGTATCAAGTTATTTTTAAAGATAAAATCTAAACATTAAGCAACACAAAATTTTTAATGTCTGCTGGCCAATTAAAAAACACTTGGGATAAGAAATGTACTAATTATCTTGCCTATGTAATTGTAACCCCTCTGTATGGTATTTTCACAATAAAAACAAAAAACAAAAAGCAAGCAAATAAAAAAAAACACTTGGGTATGTGAAAAAGCAGCAAATTGAGGCCTATCAGTCAACAGAAAGATTGAGGAACTATGATGAAAGAATAGATAACAAAAAGCAGATTTAAATAGAACCTTCAGAGCTAGAGATGTTGCAGAAAAAGAAAAATTGGTGAATCTGAACAACTAGAAAGAAAAATCACCCAAACTGGAGCATGAAAAGAATTCTAAAATTCTTACCAATCAATTAGTAGAGATGCAGACTTAGTAACTAGGGAATTGTATCATACAGCCCAATATATATTGAACTAGAAAGTTAAAATAGGCACACACAGGAAAAAAAAATTCAGAAAGTATGCCAGAGGACTAATAAACCCATAGATCTAAAACAAAAAGCCAACTTCAGGCAGAATAAACCCTTTGAAGTGATAAAGAAAACCTATCCACTAAGAGGGCAGAAATTCACAAGCTGATTAGAAAAACCATATATAAACAAATATCCAGAATAGCCAAAACAACTTTGAAAAAAGAACAAGTAGGAGAACTTATAAACACAGTGTCTTACTGGCTAAAGGACAGATGTACAGACTGATGAAAAAAAACTGAGTGCTTAGAAAGAGACTTTTTAAAAGGATTGATGATATTCATAGGAGCAGATCACAAAGGCTTCACAGCTCTGTGCATATGATCACATAAAATAGTATTTTAGAAATGAACTCCAAGAGATGTAAATGAGATTTTTGTTGTTGTTGCTGTTTTTGTTGTCTTTTCCTTTTGTCTTGTTTGTTAATTTGTCTTTGGGAGAAGGGAGACAGAAATGGAGGGACAAAGGGTGAACAAATACAGCAGCGGTACTCACTAGATACTATGTGGAGAATGAACTATACAACTTGTGAGTGAGGATGGAAGAGAAAAAGTGGAATAGACAAGGGAAGAGGTGACATGGTTCAAAAAGAAATGTACTTATTACCTGACTTATGTAACCATAACACCTCTGCATATCACCTTTACAATAACAATAAAATATATTTTTAAAAAGCATTGATGAAACAAATAAATACACATTTGGAAAAGATCCATTACCTCTTAAAATTAACATGAAATAGATTACTGACCTAAATAAGAGAAAGAAAAACTAAAAATGAGTAAGCTAATTTGAAGATGTTGTAAAAATCCTTCCTTACAAGGAAGGTTTAAGATAGAAATGTTTCATGGTGCTTCTAAAGCAGGGGATCTAATTCTTCATTTCAGGTTCAAAGGATACCTAATAAGATTTTTGTGCATTTTTCTACTGAGCAAGGCAGCCCTAGTCAAACTGAATTAGTAATGAAAAATTCTGTTAAATTTTCACAGGGACGATTTTATGTATCAATATTACAGAGAACATTTGAAAAATTAACATGCATTGCCTTAGGTATAAAGCTGATGGCTGTTATTTTTACATCTTAAACAAAAGACAAATATGACATTTTTTCCATAATAATAATTTGAAAGACCAGGGCACACAGATATTTAAGTTAATTAAATGGCAAGAAGGGTCACAGTAATAAATACATAATTCACAGTGCTGAACTCCCTTCAATTGTCTAGGCCTATCTACAGTATGCCAAGGCAGTGGCTATAACAGCAGAATAGATCAGGGTAATTAATCAGTGTCAACTAGATACAAGATGACTGATGTAATGTGTTTTCGGTGTGGTGGGAACTGCAAAGGACATGGTGAAGCCGAGCTGTACTGTCTTGTGTTTATGCCTGCAGACAGCTCTCAGTGTAACACACAGCAGTGTTGCAGCTGGGGCAGGAAGAACACTGGTTTCATTTCAATTCCGCTAGTGCACTTTTAAAAATTACTTTTCTTCTAGAACAATGAAATTTCATTTTCCCAGAAGTGGAAAAGAAAAACACAATCAATATCACTATGAAAGCTTAGATTTCAGAAAAAGGGGGAAAAAAAATCCAGATTTTCCATAGTAAAAGCCTATTATGTATAGAAAAAGAAAAACATAGCCTAGTCTTAATCATATTTTTAAGCTCAACTACGTGAAATGTATCCAGACTTAAAAACAAAAACAAGCCTAAAACCCCAAACCAATTAGGTTCATCCTTTTACTGTTCTACTTTGCTCTTAGCCAAATGTATTATAACTTACTGGCGCGCGCGCGCGCGCGTGCGTGTGTGTGTGTGTGTGTGTGTGTGTGTGTGTGTGTGTGTTGGGCTGGGGTTTGAACTCAGGGTTTCATGCTTGCCACCACCTGAGCCTCATTTCCAGCCCACTTAGCTCTGGTTTGAGATGCATTCTTGCTTTTTTGCTAGGGCCTGCCTAGACAGACCACAGGCTTTCTATTTCCTCTTCCCAACACAGCTGAGATGAGAAGCACATGCTACCATGCCCAGCCCTTTATGTTCAGATGGTAGTCTTTTGAGTACTCAACGAGGCCTGGCCTGCCATCATGATCCTTCTGATCGTTGTCTCCTATACAGATAGGGATGACAGGCAGGCACTATCATGCCCAGTTATTGTTCTAGGTGGGGTCTTGTGAACTGTTTTGCCTAGGTTGGCCTGGAACTATGATCCTCCCAATCTCTGTTTCCTGAATAGATTATGGGAATGAGCTATGGGTGTGCCTGGCTAAGTTTTTATTTTAGGTAAATTCTTAGTTTGAAAAAAATTCTATTATTTATATTGCTTTTCTCCCCTGTTAAGCACTATGCTATTAACAGGGATAAAGTTACTACTACCAAAACAGGTTTACTATTACTAAAAATATTAGCACAAACATACAAAAACATACGTACATATTTAGAAATCATATAGCACAACCACCAGCCTAGGCAGAATAACTATAGTATGTTTACAACTATTTTACTTATTTAAAAAATCTTATTATATTAAAATTTGAAAACTGTGAACAAGCCTCATATCTTGCAACGTCTCCCAATGAGACTTAGCTTAAACGGGACCTGAAAATTGTACAGTGCACTGAGAAAAACTTCTTTTCAGACTAGCCAAGATAAATTTGAATAACAAGCTACTCAAGTTGAATAAATTTCTGAGGACATCAGTTGGCAAAAACAGGAGAATTACTGATAGCAGCCAGCTAAATGGCCTTAGCATGATATCATCCAAAGTGATGAGAGGAATTAATTTCAATGCATGACAACAGAATCAATTTACAGTATGTCAAATATTGTATCAGATCAGGAGAGAAGCAAATAACTCATCTTTTCTTATCAGAGCTCACCATAACATAGATGTATGTATACAATTATTTCATAGAAGAAAGAAAGAACAACTATTTTTCTGGGCCAACTAAAGAATGAGCTGGGTTGGAAAGAGAAAAGTTGTAATTTATCAAGGAGAAGAGATCAAAACAGTTGTCTATGTAGAAGAATATCTGGGCATAGTCAAATAATAAGAAGAAAACATGATCATTAGCTAAACTATGATTAGTCTAAAGGCTGGGATTTGGCTCAGTCTGGGTAAGCACTTGCTTAGGCCCTAGGCTTGAAATGACTAGTCAATATAGATAAAACATATGGACTTATCTAAGATTGTGAAAAGATAGGTCTGGAAATTTTGAAACACTACTCAGATTACAGAGTCACCATAGGGATATATTTTTATCATATTGTCCAGTCATTTGATTATCATCTGACTTACATGGTTGCTGATGAGTATTCTGACACTCCTTTCTATGTTCATATATATATATATATATATATATATATATATATATATAATTCATCTTTTTTTGGCATAAAGAATATTTAGCTCTAAATTTGTGTGTGTGTGGGGGGGGGTGCATGCCCATGTGCATGTGTGCATATATATATATATATATATATATGTGTGTGTATATATATATATATATATATATATATATCCTGTAGGGGGGGTTATTAAAATTATTTAAGCTGCATGTTACAGTTTTTATCCAATTTAAGAAAATTTGGCTGTTATTTTGTCAACTGCATTATATCAACTGTATTACTAGTCTGTGTCCTTTTTTTCTTCCCGTTTGTCTTCCAGCTTCTTTCACGGACGCATGCTATTACATGATCATTTGAAATTTTTTTTCCTCATCTCATTCTTGACACATTTTGATATATTTTATTGCAGTATCTTCAAGTTAACTGTTGTTTTTTCTTATACTCACTAATTTCAACAATTACCATTTTCACTTAATATTACAATTTCTACATCTAGAAGTTCTATTTGCATTGAAGGTTATTTTCTCACATTCTCATTGTTATATGCATACAAATGAACTTATAATACTTCAACATGCTCATCTAATTCCAACATTTCTGGGTGTTGCTTCTAACTGATTTTCCTTGTCTAACTATATGTGGTGGCATTGAAATTCTTATGTTGCCATTAAACTACATACCTGTAGTTCCATTTTTTTTTTTTCATGGTCCTATGTTCAACTTTGCTAAGAAGCATTTAGATATCCTTTACCCTAGAGATAGTTTATTTCTATGATAAGAACATAGTCCTTCTGGCATTTCTACTGAGTTATTCTATGGAAGTTTTGAGCTACATAATACTCTCTATTTTAGGGGCAAAATACATTGAACATTAAAAGTTTTCTTAAAAACATTTCTTTTAATTAAATGCCACCTGAAATGTATATATACATGGATGCTCCAGAAACAGCTTACGTTAACATCTGTTATACTGTCCCCAATGTGCACAGTAGGCATATAATGGTTATAAAATGAAAATTTCTGTTTACTTTAGAACAAATAAGATTCTTTCCCCTTCTTATCTTCTTACCTGCTTTAACTGAAAATGGCTTTTCCAGTAGAAATGCTGTTTGTTTCCAGTGTGTTTTGGTACTCTGGGGGCCCGTGGAGAACATGACCTGTTTTGGTAAAGTTCAGAAGTATTTCTGATGAAGTACAGATTTCTAATATCATGGTACATTACTCTACTAAATCATACAAGCTCCAAATGCTTACAACAGCAAAATGCTATGATCAAACACCTTGGGGCACAAAAATAAAACACAACATACTCCACATAATTAATTTATATGAAGAACTCAGGATACTTACCCTGTTACGGCAATTCTTCTCAAAATATATGTCAAAGTAGCCAATGATTGCCTATTAATTTAAAAGAACACAAATGATTATTAAACTATTTATATGGATATAATAGTTAACTATTTGGCCTTTAAAGACATGACAAATTTGGAACTATTTCAAAGACACCTTTTTATTGATGAGAGTCTCGCAGACTTGTCTGCCCAGGCTGGCTTCAAAGATACCTTTTAATTGATAAGAGTCTCTCAGATTTGCCTGCCCAGGCTGGCTTCAAAGCAGAATTTTCAGGTATCAGCTTCCTGAGTAACAAGGATTAAAGTCATAGGCCACTGGCACCTAGCAACCAAACACCTCTTAAACTGTTTTTCTTATGGAAGATATAAATAAAAGACAAAGGAATATAATTTGGCTTTTCTCCACAGAAACAATGTAACAATGAGGGTAAAAAAATTAATCAAATATCAATGTTTTATTAAAGAGAATTGATAGACTAAAATAAATAAGACTAGAAATGATAAAGCAGGTAGAGGGAGGTCCAGCCAGTCACTAGTTGACCCAAACCGGACGACTGACTGAGATGCTGACAGTAAAGTTAAGCCATCTGGGAGCCTCTGCCAGACAACTAAAACTGCAGGACAGATACCAAGACAGACCCACCAAAGCACTAGCCAGGTTAAGTTCAGTATAGATTGTACAATCATAAGCAACTATATATATTTGATTCATAGCATAACCCATGGGATGGATATAACCCATTTAGATGGGTTATAAAGATAGTAATAAAATAATGCAAATACATTCTTTTATACAAAGCCAGTTCGTTTACTTTGTTTTGACCTAGTAGTACCAATTTTATTAATTTTTTGGAGCACTTCATGTCACTAACACTTCCATGTCACTAACCCTAGTGTTTCCAATTACAGAGCAAAATATACGAACATTTGTGGTAAGATCACAAAAATAATTTTGAAATCAGTAAATTTGGAAATACTACATTTTTTTGAAAATATACTAAGCACAAAAGTATTCAAGTTAAACTTAAGCAAATACCTAAAGGAAAAACTCAAAAATTAATTCTAATATTACAGTAACAGCACAAAAGGCCCACAATAAAAATGAACATTTATATGAATATGTAATCTTACTTTTGCTTAAAATTTAAGCCACACTATTCCTTTCCCTTTCACTAATGGGACAAGCTTAACATAATCTGTTTTTAAAACATTTAATGAAGATTATAAAGTTTTAAACACAAGAGATTGATTATTAAAAAATCATTATTAAGCCAATTTGTGTACTCTGCTGTTTTTGCTAAGAATGTTAAGTTTTATTGATCTTGAAGGGCTAAATATGGATTGGGTCCAAAGCAAATTCAATATTTAACTTTGAAGTTCATTACATTTTAGATACCAAGAGAGAACTGAAAAAAATATTTATTTATTTTATTTTTTTTTTTTTGGGGTCCGGTTGTGGGGCCTGAACTCTGGGCCTGGGTGCTATCCCTCAGCTCTTCAGCTCAAGGCTAGCACTCTACCACTTGAGCCACAGCGCCATTCCCGGCTTTTTTCTTATATGGTGCTGAGGAATCGAACCCAGGGCCTCAGGCATGCAAGGCAAGCACTCTACCACTGAGCCACCTTCCCAGCCCCTGAAAAAAATATTTTTAAATTTTTTATTAACCCCTCCTCAAATACATACAATTATTGTCAATAAGTTTCAAAATATTATCAAAATGAATAAAAACCTGTGCACAACTAAATTAGGAACATACACAACTAAATTAGGAACAATATTTTAGTCTTTCTCCACATACATAAAATTCTGTATTTTGAAAAAAACTATAATTCTAACAGATTATTCAGCTATGAATGATCACAGAAAACCATATAGTTAATCAGAAACCACCTTTTCAGTTGGTTTCCAATACTTAAGCCACCTTCCACAGGTGAATTTTTTTTATTAAATTTGTTCCTTCCTGACCTTCTAGTTCACCACTATATTCTTAGTACCCAGAACAGTGGTAGCATATAATGGACCAATAATTACTTGCTGGATATATATTATACATAATTCTATTACAGTATATATTGTGCTATGTTACCATATAGTTCTGCCCTATAAGCATGTAATTTATTTAATAGTAGGACCCAGGCTTAACTCCTGTTTTTATGTCCCTCAGCCAACACAATTTCTGAAAAGTTTTAGCCAAATCAATATTTTAGTCTTCAGTCTCTCAAATATAACTAGCCTTACATAATTAGACTAATTTATTGTCTTTTCTATATTATGCTACTACAAATGAATAATAACACAACAAAAGAAACGAACAAAAATTAAGTCAGGAAATTTATTTTTAAAACATCAAATGATTAATAACCATGTGGAAAAAAAAGTATGTCATATTTAGAAAAACAGGGGTTTGTGTGAAGAATAACCAGATGTACTATTCTTCTGGGGAGGGAAAAGGGGCAGAGGACTGAGCTAATTACAAATGGCCAATGATTTATTCAGTCATATAACACAATGGAACATCATTAGAAACCCAGAACAAGGAGCAGTTCAGAGTGTCTAGTTTGGTGGATGTGTCTATGTGCTAGGACAGCAGTAGAGTTGTGTGCCTAGGATGTTCCCAGACCTGGCTCCACAAACCCACTCATCTGGCTATACATTTATATCCTTTGTAATTGTGTATATGAAACTTTGAAACTAGTGAAGTGTTTCTAAGTTCTGTGAATCCTTGGTTGTTCTGTGTAACCACGTGGACAGAAACATGGGTAATTTGGGGGCCCAGTTCTTGTGGCTGATACCTGAAGTGTGGGGCAGTCTCATCAGGTGGAGACCTAACCTGTAGAATCTGTGTTAAATCAGGCAGTATCAGAATTGAATTATAGGATACCCAGCTTGTGTTATAGACAACTGAAGAGTGAGTTGTCACACAACTTACACATTTTAGTGTCAGAAGTCTTATGTGTAGAAAAACTGTTTTCCTTCTAATATCACTTGGCCATCAAAAATAATCCTTCGGTAAATCTTGATTGATGTGGAAGAACAGTCACGTTATTCTATCAGGTAAAGAGCATCGTGACAAATCAGTAGGCATTATAGTCACATATGGCATATTGTGAAAATTAAATATATGTATTAGATTAAGTATATGTATTAAATATACATATATATCTGTAAAGATATTTACCAGGCTATTTACAGTAGGTGATAGATAAAGTTGGAGCACTCACAATCTTTGTGATTGTCTATATTGTTTCCAGCAAACATGAAGAGCTCCTGTGAAAATAGGTTATTTGAAATAACACCTTACTGTAATTTATCTATGATAGTACTGTATGGACAAGCATTCAGTTCATCACCTTTGCCTCAGTTTCCTCAGTGAACCTCTCCTATCACTCATCTTTGCATCCTGTGGGGCTAGGGCAATGTCTAACAGGTAGTTAGAACTAAATGAATTAGGGGCAAAGAAAAGGTTTCTCCCCCAATTAATAATTCTATATATTTTCCAGCAGACGAGCAAAACAGAATCAACAAAAAGTTTAAGGAGAAAAGATAGAATATTTACAATAATTACAGAACTATTTAAAAACATTAAACTAAGACCTTTAGACCTGAAACTAAAACATATAACATACATAAAGAAAAACATATTTTTAACCATGGCAAGCCCTCCCCTCAAATAATAACAAAAACAAACAAACAATAATTCCTCAAACCCAGACTGGAAATTAGCAATGACATGGTGGAATAATTATAGAATTACAATTAAAGAACTCAAGTCTAAAGAAAAAAGACTGATATGAGTTCACACAACATGAAAAATACATAGTGTGTTTGTAATATAGATACTGTAGAACTACCTTCAGCCCCCAAATCTATCTATGAATTATGATTAAAAGTCAAACTTCTCTGAATAATTAAAATACTATTTATCAAGATGAATTTAAGGAAATGGAAACATGTTTTGTTGTTGTTGATGGTGGTGTTTGTTTTGCTTTCATTTTTAGGGAAGCTTGGGGGGGGGGTTAAGAAAGGGAGGGAAGGAGGAAATGAATGCAGCCATGCTATTCAGTATATACTATATGGAAAATGACTAGGGAGAAGTGAAGAGTGATATTGTTCAAAAAAAAGAAATGTACTCATTACCTGACTTATGAAATGGCAAACCCTCTGTACACATCTTAATAGTAACAATAAAATTAATTTAAAAAATCCAAACTCGGGTGCTGGCGGCTCATGCCTGTAATCCTAGCTACTTAGGAGGCTGAGATCTGAGGATCATGGTTCAAATCCAGTCCAGACATTAAAGACTGCTAGACTCTTATCTCCAATTAACCACTAGAAAACTGGAAGTGGTTCTGTGGCTCAAGTGGTAGAGTACATGCCTCGAGCTGAAGAGCTCAAGGATAGTGCCCAGGCCCAGAGTCAAGCTCCACGATCAACAAAAAAAAAAAAAATCCAAGAAACTAATCCATACCCACTCCTTTCTTCACCTCTATTAATACAGTGCAAGAAATACTGGCTTATTTGGGTGACTAAAAGACAAAGATAAGCAAGCTCAAGGAAAAATAAGAGATTTTGATACATTTGGTTATGAGCATTTGGAAGAGATGTAATACGTATGAAATTGCATGTATTTTACAGTTCTCTTTGAAATTGCATCAGAGCGTCTTTTCTTCCTCAAGCACATTTACTTTTTTTAAAAAATTATTTATTTAAATAATTAACTATTTTTATTTTTTGTAGGTCGTGGGGCCTGAACTCAAGGCTAGTGCTCTACCACTTGAGCCACAGCACCACTTCTGGCTTTTTCTGCTTATGTGGTGCTGAGGAATCGAACCCAGGGCCTCATGCATGCAAGGCAAGCATTCTACCACTGAGCCACCTTCCCAGCCCCATTTACCTTCTTAATATTTCAGTTTCACCATGAGGTGAAAATCACCCAAGATTAAAAATCATTTGCAGAGAGGAGGGCATGGTGGTACATATCCATAATTCCAGCTACTTGGGAGGACACAGGAAGACAAAGAGTTCAAGGTCAGTATGGACAAAAT